GCATAATCGATGAACGTATGGAGCGTAGGTTAGAGATTCATCAAGATTCCCCTTACAGTTGCTGCAGGCGGTTTTAATTTTCCTGTTTTCGGCGTGTTGAGGTTTCTTCTCCTTAATTTTGTCCGACATATTGATCCCTCCATACCATGTCCCGGTTGCTCCATCGCTTCTCTGTAGGGGAACAATTGTTGAACTTTGATTGTTAATCGTCTTAATACAACAAGTATCTGGTAACTCTGAAGAAAGTCTTAACTCAGAACATAACAACACCACTTCATAGAATTTGAGACGAAATGAATTATTATTTACCCCTCTCGTTTAACATATCATTTTACATCATTATAACATACCTTACTTTAATAAACCCTCAAGGTTTCCTCTAGTTGACCAAAATGTTGGGTATGTTACCTGAGCTTCGCGCTGGAGATCTCATAAGCGGACGCACAGTGACGTGGTTATCCATGTCGTCCTCAGATGATCATGTCTCCAACATAAACCGACAGGACTAGAGGTTTGACCCTATATTCAGACGGCCCTTGATTACCGTGGTTAAGTCCTTGTAGTTTTGACCAGGGTCATTTTACCATACTTTCTGCAATGGAACATTTAATATTAGCCCCGTAGCTGAATGGTAGAGCTTTGGCTGCGCAAAAGTCTTTCCCGCTGCGTGAACTCGTCTCCCACCGAGGCCGCGAATTTCCCACGATTGGATCAATCTAATTGTGTTATATATCTAATTCAATTAGGATTTTAAACTAACGCCTTTCCGACACGGGATAGAGGCAAATGGGTTGCTACATAATGCAAGTATTAAAAGTGTTTGCTATCGGAGTTCTCACAAGCTTCGTTTTCGAAAGCTTTTTTTGCCATCCGACTAATCTCAACTACTTATGCTACTCCCTGCAGCAGTCTGTTATTTCCAAATACGCGCAGGTCCAAGTCTTACAACGTAGCGGAATGTCGCGCGGACTCTGCTCAGTTCACACGATCGATGAGGCTTCGATACAGTCGCTCTGCACTCAAGTGCACTCAAATGCTGACCACTGGAGCTAATAGCTATTCTTCATAATAGTTCAACCTTTGACCACACGTTGCATATGGTTTAAGTCAAGACAAATTGCACTTTTTTAAATTGGTCTGTATTAGACTGAAGTAGGACATGAAAACATGGACCCCTTATTACAGGTGGCCTTCGGGGGTGTGTGAGGATTAAGGTAAGGTCACGGGAGACTGTACACCGCATAAGGGGTAGGTATTAGAAGATCGCTGTATGTGCCTACTCATAGGAGCACCAGGGATGTTTAAATAACCACTGACACTACACAAACTTTCACTGATGGTAAACAAATGAATTAATCTGTTGTGGCATGAAAATAAATTAGATAAGAGGAAAAAGTTGACGATGAAAGCGCTCGATCTGTTTAAGCTGAGCGTGCGCTGTTTTTGGTATTTCAATTATTAGTCCTGTTAAGCAATTACTAACGGCTTTAAACATTTTAGACATAAAGTCAGATTATAGGTCACACTACCAGCCCCCAAATAACTTTGCGTCGAACCTCGAAAAGTCACTTCATTATAATTGGCATTTAGCCCAACTCTTATAATTGACCTCTGTAGGCCGAAAAGGCCTTTGCAGAATTTATAGCAAGGATAGCAAAGTGTTCGATAACTGCCAGTTGTTTTTAATATCTGCTTAAAAAACCAAGTAAACCAAAAGTAGAACTTGCACTGAAGTAGAACAAAATCAACCGGGATCTAGTGCTTTTCGGTGGTCGCAGAAAGTCAACACGTTGACAGTAAACCTTATCACAATCGACGAGCATTTGACTCACTGCGTCGTCCATTAACCGACCTGGGTTCAGATAATATTACTTTATGGTGTAAGGCTGAGACATACCTGGCTGAGGGCTGTAGATAAGTCAGAAATAGGCTGTTAGGATTTCCTCGACATCATGTTGAGTACTGTGTGTTTGGCGGAGGGCTGCTTACAATTTTGAAACAGTTTCCTTCAGCTGATTTAAAAGCTTTTGCTGGAAATTGTTCAACGGCTCATATTCAATGCAATCTGTTTAGACTACCAGTCGCTGTGCGACTGTTGTCAGGGCCTGAGAATGAAACCCGAGGCAGAGCTGGACGAGTGAGTTCCATTAGCGGTTTGTGAACGTCCATCAATGAGTGCCAATATCTCCTGACCTAAACCGGCAAAACAACGACCCCATGGCTCAGTGGTCAGA